AGAGAGAGAGAGAGAGAGAGAGAGAGAGAGAGAGAGAGAGAGAGAGAGAGAGATGATTCCTTCTTTTTCTTCCTTTCTTTTCCTGTCCTCCATCGCCCCTCCTTTCCCTTTCTGAGCTCTTCTTCTTCTTCTTCTTCTGGTTCTGTTGCTGTCCATACTGAGTAAAATCTTTATATTTCAGTCTTCCGCTGTGCTATTTTTGTATTGTATTTGCAGGGTCGGTTCTTGGTTCTGATAGATGCCAATTAGGCATGCGGCACAGACACTGGGCTGCTACAGACCTTTCTAACTTCTCAGAGAGTTTCTAATGCATACCGGATAGTGGCAATCCGTTTTGTACAAATACAAATACATCATGAATCCACTGCAACATGGCAAACCGGGGGAGGGGGGGAGGGGGGGCGAGAGAGAGAGAGAGAGAGAGAGAGAGAGAGAGAGAGAGATCAAATGTGCCTAACCCGGCCATCCATGCACTCACTTCAAGGACTCCATCGTGCACAGTCACCCACCACACATCTACGTTCTCATTCAGGGAATCGTCCGCAAGGGGCTTTTGATTACGAATAACCTTTAAAACAATTCATTTTCACTTCATTAAAAGTGGGCAAAATGCATTAAAAGAAGACCAGGCACATTTGTCACAAGTCCAATCCTGAAGTTGCTTCGCATAATTGAGGACGAGGGTAAACAAGACAAACATCTATACGCCCAGACTGTCCAAGTCAATGCTGTGTGTGCTGGCATTCCTCTTCCATTACCACATCATCTTCCCCATCGAGTAGTGGCAGGAATCGTGTAAGTCGGAAGTCTTGGGCCACATGACATAAGCCCTTCCCATCTACTGTCTCATCCATCCTCAATGGTTTCACCAAGCAACGAAATGTCTGCAAATCAAGTTAATCAACACGAATGATGTGAATTAAATGGTTAATCTCAAAGTCTTGGGCCACTTGACATAAGCCCTTCACATCTTCTGTCTCATCCATCCTCAATGGTCTCACCAAGCAACGAACTGTCTACAAATCCAGTTAATCAACACTACTGATAAGCATTAAATGGTTAATCTCAGAGAGCTATTTTACTTTTACACAGTTCTGGTACCATACATACCAGAAACAGATGAAAGAAAGAAACTTATATGAAGGAGGCTGCAACCTAGAGCAGCTCATGCAATTGCAAACATGCTTTTTTGGCATGAAAAGTGTACAGAGTCTACAGACAACGATGCAGTCAAAGCACCTAAGCAAGTCAGCAGCACAAGATAGGCTCAAACCGGTGTATGTTATGAGCAGCTACCGATCTCAACATCGTCGTCAGTGGCAAAAGCAGCACGGGGAACAGCAGTAGAAATAAAAGAGCTATCACTTTTGGGTTAGAAGCAGCCACACCAGCAGGGCCATCAGCAACAGCAGGATCAGAGGCAGCGTGACCACCGGCAATTAAGCAGCAGGATCAGTTTCACCACCAGAATTGATATCAACAGCAGAATTCTTAGGAAGATGAGAATACTCACTGATTATGTCCCTGCGTTTTGTACACACTGCGCATCGCTCCTACTGATTTAATGGTCAAGTTTGTGAAAAAAAAGAAAAGAGCAACAAACAAAACGCAGCAGCAAGATCACTAGCATCATAAGAAGGAACATCAGAGTCCGCAAAGTGAGCAGCACTCTGAGTTCAGAAGCATGAGCATCATGGGCAGCATTAGAAGCAGGAAGCAGCAGCATCACAGGCAGGATCGGAAGCAGGATAATACAAACAGCAAAACACCTTTGAAGAAGCAGCAAGCAGTCGCAAGATAATCAGCAGCCTCATTCCCTCTTCAGAACCAGGATCGGCAGGGAAATCCTCTGCAGAATTAGAAGCGGGCCCAGTAGCATCAGAAACTGAAGAATCAGCAGCTGCCGCAGCAGCAACAGCAGAGGCCCCCGCTGCATCAGCAGAGGGGAATTCTCTGCAGAATTAGAATCAGGGCCGGTAGCATCAGAAGCTGGAGCATAAGCAGCCACAGCAACGGCAACAGCAGAAGCACCAGCTGCGGCAGCATAACCAAGAGAGGGGTCACTAGAGGGTCACTAGAGTATAAAGACCATTCGCTAGAATTCCTAAGCCTTCAGTGACAAGATCAGCAGCAGCCTTCACAGCATTATCAAAATTACCTGCAAAAGCATCAGCAGCCCCTGTTATATGAGAACTATGAGAACCACAGTCAGAACGTGTGAGTGACACTCAAATTGCGTCAATCACACTTCCAAGACCTCGGCATCGGCATGAGGGTCAGCATATTCCTTACCAGGACCATCTGCAGAGAGCTCAGTCACCACATCATCTTCACGAACAGCAGAAGCATATTAAGAAGAGTAAGCGGTAGAAACAGTATTGCACATATCTCTGTCTGCATGCACCTGTTCATGAATCACTGCCAGAGGCACGAGAGAGAAGTCTGTTAAGCATAAGAAGAAAGTGTCAGGCCGTATAAATGTGTAACACCACTAATGCAGTGTCGCAACCAGATTCTACTTTATCTTGAAGAATTCACTCGCCACAGGATGGATAGCGTTTCCTTGGGTAATGCAGCCGCTCTCGCTTGGCATAGCTGCAACATCATAGATTTCCCTCCATCGATCAGCCAGTCTTCTCACCAAAGGCTCATCAGCATGGTGTGCAAGAGGGTCGAAATCCCACGGCTTCAGTCCCTATGTTTAGCCAGTTCAGAAACACAAACGCAGATGCAACAAGCAAACAAGCCATCATTAGTCAACAAAAAAATAAGAAAAAAGAAAAAAAACACCATCAGCCACAACAGCCAGCCTCTCTCCCACATGACTTCATTGTATTCTGATCGGCAACTTTGAGAATAAAAAAATTTGAAAATCATAACAAGCGACACACGTTTGGAAATCAGTAGATTGCCCCAAAGGTACAAATTGTCAGAGATAACAGCACCTCCCGAGTCCTCCACCTTCAATGTAATTGGGCCATATGCCCCTGTCACAGGCTGAGATGCCAGGGTCACCGTTGACATACTCCAACAGTCCAACAGCTACTGACTAAATTGAGACATAAATTTACTGTGCAAAAAGGAGGCTGATGGGCAAGGAAGCTGGGGGGAAAGCTGTAGGCCAAGGGAGGGAGGGGGAGGAAGGACGAGACGGAGCATCCGGAACTTTATGAATTGGGAGATGAGCAGCGGGGTACAGGGAAGGAGTGTGGCATGCACATGCCTCCCACACAGGCCCTGGGGACACGTGGCTAACTCCATATCGGTCGTGAAAAAAATGAAAAAACAAAATTCCTGCTCTTCTTTTATCTATTTTCATTTTTTTCTTTTTAACCAAATATCGCTTTTCATTTTTTTTAAATCGTAAATCAAGTGAAATTCGGGAAAAAACAATTATGAACCCTACAACCCATATATATATTTTTTTTTTTTTTTTTTTTTTTGTCCATTCCCCCCCCCCCCCCCCCCCCAAAAAAAAAAAAGGGGCCGCGAGGTACGCCTTGTTGGCGGCCGATTTGCGTGTGGCCTAGGCCGCGGGTGTCACGTAGCTCCACTCCGTTCGAAACAAAAAGATTTGGAAGTTTTTAGGTGTTTCCGTCCTAAAGCTCCCTTTGGGACTCCCTCCACAACTTTCAAATCAAACCGAATTTACAGAGATCATCAAGAGTTATCCACTACCGAAAAAAGACATTATGGGCATCCTCACAAGTCTGAAATGATTCTCCAATGACCCCATTAAACTTAGCAGTACCTCGCCCAGCAATTTCTTTCAGAAGCAGCTGTAAACGCGCCGCGGCTTTCGCAGGTCCGTGTCGACCTAACGGGGCAAAATGGCTGGTGGCACCAGCCAAATGAAGGCCTGTGCCAGTTCGTTTTTTTTTGGCGCGCAGGGCGTTTCCAGGCTCAGCAAGAGAACCACCGAAGGTACCTGGTGGTTTAAACTTCCTTGCTCCCGGGGCCTCGATCTTTGTGCTGCAGGCGGAGGAGTCTCCGGTTTTGGCGAGTCCTATCCATTGGCTTTCGATAAAAATGGCTTTTATCAGAAGTCTGATTTGGAGACTTGGTGGAGCGAGACCCTTCATTCTGCAATCAGACTCGTTCTCAAACACACTTTTCATGCATGTAAACAGCAACGCAGCATACTGGCGACATGCGCCCACTCAAAACTCAGAGATATGGCTTTCAGATACGAGTTCACTCTCAATTGGCTATGGCGACTTCAGCGCCCAAACATCTCACTGTTCACATACACTGGATCACCCTGGATATCCCACACGCATCACTCTA